TTATATATATATATATATATATATATATATATATATATATATATATATATAGTTTACTTTAGATCAAAAAAAAAGCTATATATAAATACTTATATAGCTATATCTATAGCTTTTATATTAGCAAAATTTTGAATATTTTATGCGATGTGTTTTATAAAATATATAACATAAAATTCTATAAGATATTAAATCTATCCTTTATCTCGTTCATGATTGAAATATAAACATTAGATGTCAGTGGTAGATCCATTTCGTACCTTGTCTTTGATATTGTCTTGTCATAGACTAACTGTCATTCGCTTTCTCTTTCGCTCATTAATCCAAGATGGCAGCCCCTACGGATGAGCTGAGTAAGTGATTTCGAAAAAAATATCAATTTGGTTTGTATAAAAGCAATTTATTTTGATGATGACATCAATTATACTATTGATTATGTCATTTCTTATGTTATAAAAATATTATTTTTAATATAATAACATTCTAAAGCTATTGTTAAATTTAAAAAAAAAGTCAATTATCATGCCGTTTTGTTAAAAACAACTTCAATATATCATTTTTTTGTTTTTATAATTTTTATCTAAATTTATTATTAAGAGAAAATCTTTATTTATTCTTTGTATATTTTTATTTTATTTTACTTGTATGTTTGCATTTATTAAATAAATAAATTTTATTAAATAACTCATATAATTATTTTCCTCTTATCATATACTATAATAGTATAGTGTATATTTCTTTTATATTATTTTAAAATTTTAAATATTGTATCTTGTTTTTATTTTTAATTTTATTATTAAATTTATAAAACATATTTATTAATAGTACCTTTTTAAATTATTTTAAGATGCTATTAAATTAATGTAATTTCTTGAATATATAATGAATGATTATTATTGATAATTAATAATTATTAATATTATAAAAGTTAATATAATTAAATTATTTATTATATACAAATTATATATAATATATAATATATAACATTATGAATTAATTATCATATATAATTTATTGTTCCATGGAAGTTTTGCTTGAGCGAGTATTTTTCCGTTTGGGATCTGCAGATACTGATGAACAATTGCAAGCATCAGTTTGCAAATTTTTGCCTCCAGTTTTGTTAAAGCTTTCTAGTGCACAAGAAGGTGTTAGAAAGAAAGTAATGGAGTTATTAATTCATATCAATAAAAGAATAAAAAGTAGACCTCAAGTACAATTGCCAGTTGAAACACTTTTATTACAATATCAAGATCCAGCTGCCAGCTCATTTGTAATTGTATGTAATAATTAATTTAAAAAAATAATTTGAAACATTTTTGATAGATCAAGAATTTTTTTTCACAGAATTTTACAATTATATACATAAAACTAGGATATCCTAGAATGGAAATGCAAAAACAAGCAGAATTAATTCCAAGTATATTAAATGCTATTGAAGGAAAACCATTATCTCATCAAGATAGGTTTGTAAATATTTTTTATAATGTAAACTAATAAAATATAAATCTAAATAAATATACAAAATATTTCAGTTTATTATTTATAATTATGCCTGCATTGGGTCATGTTAATATTCCTGTGGATTCAGACAAACGAGCATTTTTTCTTGGTCTACATGACAAACCTTATGTCTCAAAACAATTACTCAATTTTATGCTTGATGTTTTATTGTTACCTTATGGGTAAGATTATTGCATTTATATATTATTACATTTACATTTTAATATTCTAATGTTATAAGAAAATTTTTTAAGAATTATTTATAATAATTTGTTATACAAAATTATTCTAGATCTGTAGGACAAATGCAAAATCAACAATCAGATCAAGCTATTGACTGGTCATGTTTTCGTGTACCACCAGGATTGAGTGAATATGCATTTAAACGAGTCATTGGTGAAAATCCACCAACAGCAGAACAACTTGAACAAACAAAATTAGGAATTGTAAAATTTCTAGCTGGAGGTTTTTTCTCTGATTCAGATATTCTTATACATTTGATAGTAGCAGCTGCAGATACCAGATTCAGTGTTGCTAATCTAGCTGATTTAGAATTGAAAAAAATTGTTAAGTATGTACCAAAGAATTTTTTTTTTGATCTTTATAAATATTTTATTACAATATATTAAATATAAAATTATGTTTTATGAATATTTAGCACATTAGATTGGTCTTCAATGCAATTAGCAGCACCATTGTATTCATTATTTTTGGGTACTGATACTTTGGGTATTCAAAAGGAATTAAGCCAGAAATGAAACGATTACCTGCAGGCATACGAATTCGTTTAAAATTATTGCATTATCTTTGCCGAGTTACTAAAGCTGGTTTTATTATACCACCATGTATTCAGGTATGTTTCATTATCTTATAGTTTATAGTTTGTACTAATTGTTTGTTAATTGTAATTAATTTATAGGTAGTTTTTCATTCTCTACAAGAAGGAGATGGAAAAACTACAAATGCAAAGTTGAAATCAATGGCATTGCAATTTACATCAAATATTGTGCAACAGTGCGTATGATATATTATAAATTATTAATGAATTTGAATTTTAAATAATCATGATACATATATATTGATATTTTGTAATATTTTAAGATGTAGCCTTGCACCATTATCTCGCATAGCAGGAATTATTTTAAATGGTATGATAAAATTAATTTTTGAAGGTGAAGATATTCATAAAATGATGGCATATACTGTTATTGGACAATTAGGACAAAGAATTCCATCAGTGATAGATAAAAACTCAAATTTATTATGTCATTTGTTTGATACACTTGTATCGGTATGTAGAATTAATAATAGGAAAAAAAAAATAGTAAATTTACATATATGTTTACTAAAATATATTACAAAAATGTTTATATTTTTTTTTAATTTTATCTTTAAGACGGAAGGAGATTTACGAAGAACAATAAGAGATACGTTGATCTCAATAACATCTGCATTTATTCTTAATAAAGATGATGAAGCCAATATATCTCTCATGAACGGATTATTATCTACTTATATTGAATCATCGGAATCTAATGTTAGGCATGTATATATTAGTTATTATTAGTATATATATTAATATATATTAATATATATTAGTAAATGAATTATATAAACACATAGGTGATTACTTATATATTTTATTTAGATATTTTTTTATTTATTTATACATTTATATATTTAAGAAAAATATCGTTTAAATTAATCATATTTTTTGAAAACAGATTTGTAGCTATGCATTATGCAGCTACTGTATTTCCCTCTGATGATGTACCTTCTCGTTATCTTTTATTATTAGCATCTGGAGATGATAAACATGAAATAAGAACAGAAGCTATAAAAGTTTTGTATGGTACTACTCATAAAAATGAATGTGATAAACAAAATTGTAACCATATTTCATTACCAGATTTTAAGAAACTTGTTACTTATATTTATTCAAAAATGCAAGCAAGAATGTCAACTAGTAATGAAAAAATGAATATAGAAAATAAAATACTTCCTTATAATATCACTGTATTTACAGAGGTAATCAATTCAGTAAAAAAATAATTTATTTTTATCAGAAATTATATGTATTTTTAATAATTAAATAAAATAATTTTTTTCTTGCAGATAATTACTTATCTCCGAATTTGTTTAGCAAGAAATGCTCATGTTACTAAATATAATGAATTATTACAACATCCTTGTGAAAGTACGCCACTAATTACACGTTATTTAAAAAATCTGTATGAAGACAAAATAGAAATATTACATCATTATCTTGATATAATTTTAATTTTTAGTCATGCTTCTGCAGGTAAAACTGCATGCAATATTTTTGATAAACATGAACAATAAATTAAGAATTATAATAAATTATAATTATGTAATGCAGATCAAACTTCATTGCAAGCTTTATTGGAAATGATTGGTTCTATCCCACAGTTTGTAATAAGAATTTATGAAAATAATCTATCATGGCTTCGTACTTTACTTATATCTACTAAACCAGATATAAGACAATTGGCTGCTAAAATTTATGGTATAATAACTGCTCAGCTTCCCAATAATGAGTTTGAAACTCAAATTTCTGAGATTATGGCTATCATAGATAAAAATAATTTAGAAGCTCAACATGGTTCATTATTAACTTTAACATATATGATGGAAAGAAGATTAGTTTTTAAACGAAGTAACATAAATAATGATTGTTTTAATTGGGATCTCTATATTAATGTCGTAAGAATGATATGTATGTATATATTTAGATGTAATAAATTAATATTAGTCCATTTTCTAATTTTATTTTAAAAATATTATTATAGGCAATTTTCTTCATAATAATACAATTTTGTTATTGGATGCTGCAATTCAAAGTATTGGTATTTTGGGTAAAACATGTGAGTTACCATTACCTAATGAGGGTGAAAAAAAACCAAATAAAAAAGAAATTGTTGAAATATTATTTTCAATATTAAATAATGTAAAATTAAACACTAAGGTTGATATACATATTTTTATAATTAATTGATTTATTGAATTTAAATAATTATTGAATTAAAATAAAACTAATAAAACTAATTTGATTATATTTCTAGATTAAAGAGAAAGCTGCACTTTCATTAGGTTATTTATGTGTAGGGGAAAATTTTCCTCATACATCATATATAGTGAATAAAATAATTACAACTGTCAAAGAGGTAAATATATAATAATTATAATTAAAAATTTTAGAAATATTTTATGTTTGTTTTTATTTGTTAGACAAAAGATATTGAAATCCATTTGATTATGGGAGAGACATTGGTTTGTTGTGTTCAAGCTGAAGCTTCTCCAGAAAAACGAGATGCCTGGATGATATTACCAAGTGAGCATACAGTACCTTACAGCGATACTAGTACTGAGTTATTAATACATACATTAAATGAATTACTTCATATATATAAAGATCCACATCCTAATTTGAGACAGGTATTTATAATAAAAATACAGTTCTCTAAAATTATTAAAGTTATTTCATTTTTTTTATTACAAATATTTTTTATAAGGCTGTCTGTGTGTGGTTATTAGCACTTCTAAAATATAATATCCAAAGAGAATGTATTAAAGAAAAATTTTCGTCATTACATTATGCATTTATGGATTTTCTTTCAGATGATAGCGGTAAGTTATATATATTTACTATTTATAAAAAAAATTTAGATTTTTATTAAAAAAGTATATTATTATAGATATAATACAAGATATGGCAGCAAAAGGTCTTAGTTTAATACATATTAATAGTAATAAAGAACAAAAGGAATTTTTTGTTTCTAATATATTAGATCAATTTACACAGGGACGTAAAACAGTACAACAAGTTACACTTGATACAAAATTATTTGAAGAAGGTCAATTAGGAAAATCTCCAACAAGGTAAAATGATAATTAAAAATTTAGATACTATTATGTATTTATAATTTTATAATATTAATTTTATAAATAATATTTTATTTACAGTGGTAATTTATCTACATATAGAGAAATTTGTTCTTTAGCTACAGAATTGCAAAAACCCGATTTGGTATATTATTTCATGCATTTAGCAAATCATAATGCAGTATGGACATCTAAAAAAGGTGCTGCATTTGGATTTGCAGCAATTGCTGAAATAGCAAATGAAGAATTAAATAAATATTTACCCAACATAATTCCACGTTTATACAGATATCAATTTGATCCCACTCCCAAGATTCAGCACAGTATGTCTAGTATTTGGCGAGCAATAGTTCCATCAACAAGTAAAGCTGTAAGTAATTTGTAAATTAAGATACATTTTTTATTTTTCTTTAAATTATATTTCATATTTTAATAGATTGAACAATATCATAAAGAAATTTTGAGTGATATAACTGATAATTTAACGAATTATGAATGGCGAGTGCGAATCAGTTGTTGCAATGCACTTGCAGATTTATTAAGAGTAAACGTTCGTTTAAATTTGGCGAAATGTGCTCCAGAATTATTGAAGACATTGTTTCGAGTAATGGATGATATTCACGAAGGCACTAGATTAGCAGCCACAAATACAACTAAAGCATTAAGTAAAGTAAGTTTTATATTGAAAATATTTATTCATTACATTAAATTGTAATAATTATATTTTTCAATACAATATAGGTTTGTGTTCGATACTGTGATTCTTCTTATGGCAAAGAGGGAGAAGAAATTCTACAAGCAATTTTACCTGTATTATTAGATATTGGAGTTGTTAACGTTGTGAGCAGCGTAAGAATAGTATCTTTACAAACTATATCTCAATTAGTTTCAAGAGCAGGTGTTTTGCTTAAACCGTCTTTAGTTATATTAATTCCTGCTCTTTTAAGTACAATTGGTGAATCAGAAAATCCGAATTTATCATATTTAAGTAACGTATGTGGAACAATGTCAGAGGCGCGAGATGCTATTGATAATATTAGAGCTAGCGCTGCTAAAGAACATTATGCTACTGAAACAATGACAAAAGTGAGTTACTTAATATAAATAGATATAATTTTAAAAAAGAATAGCAATTATTAATTATTTATTAATTATATTTATTATTTATTAATTATTATTTTCCTTTAATGTAGTGCATACAATATATTGATGCAGAGATTTTAAAAGAATTAATGCCAAAGATAATAGAATTGATAAAATCTAGCGTCGGTTTTGGAACAAAAATTACATGTTTGCATTTTATTATTCTTTTAAGTACTCACTTTAAACAAGAATTACAACCTTATAGTGGTTAGTAAAAAATGTTAATATTATATTATATTTATCTTAAAAAATATTTCTACAAATTATAATTTAATATTTATATTAAATATTATTATAAAATATTATTATAATATAGGTAAACTTTTAAACGCGCTAATGAATGGATTATTGGATCGTAATTCTGTCGTTAGGAAAAATAATGCAACTGCTATTGGACATATAGTGGGATCAGCGAAAGAATCAAGTCTTGAAAAATTATTTAAAACGCTTAATACATGGTACATGGAACGAGGTGCGCATAATAATTTTTTTTTAAAAATTATAACTTAAATTTATAATTTAAAAAAAAGAGAATAAAATTTTATTTGATTCTTAATTTCAGATGATTCAACTAAATTAGCAATTGGTCAAACATTACAAGCTATAAATAATTATAATCAGGAAATATTAAGAAATTTTTCGAATATTGTTATACCTCTTACTTTTTTTGCAATGCATGAACAAAAAACGCAAGGTTCGTATTTTGAAATTAAATTTGTAAATATGATATTCATCTGCACTATTTTTATAGAAAATGAAAATGTAATCGACTTATGGACCGAATTATGGAATGAAATAACTCCAGGAACAGAAACCGGAATTAGACAAAACATAGAATCAATAACAAATATTTTACGCACATCATTGGAATCATCATCGTGGAATACGAAAGCTCAAGCGGCTAATGCGATTCATACATTAGCAGAAAAATTAGGTAGCAATATTGATGCAACTATAAGAGATATTTTATTAAAAGTATTAATGGATGGTTTACGTGGTAGAACTTGGGATGGAAAAGATCGATTATTAAATGCTCTTGCTACATTAACATGTAATAGCAAGTATGTAAAAATATTATAAATTTTATGCATATTTTTTAAAAGTTACTATTCATTTTTAAAAATTGATATTATAATTATAGAACAGCTCTTAAAGAAAATTCTGAAATGTCTATAGATATAGTACAAATATTATATAGGGAAAGTAAAAAAGAGACTTTAGAATACCGTCGACATGCTTTATATGCATTTGGTACGATTTTACATGAATTAAATATTGATAAATTTAAAGAAGTATATGAAATCGTTCAAGAAATTTGGACAATGGTATGTATTAGTAATAAAAATAAAATGATAAATCATACATTTTGATATATGAATATTGTACAATCTAGCTGGCAAGAAAAGATGCAGATGAATCTTTAATTTCTGAAGAAAAAATAAAAAGAAATGATGTTATAAAATTATATGAAGCTGTTTATGAAATACTTGGAAAAGCTTGGCCACCATATAAAGAAACTCAAGGTAAATTATTGATGCATAAAAATTATTAAATATTAAACTTATTTATTTTTATTATTTAATCTGTCTGTTATTAGACAAATATTGCATAGAATTTATAACTCATTACGATAAAATGCTTCCTGTTCAATCTACAACTATACAAATATCAATGCTATCATCACTTAATTTATTTGTGGATAAACTTGCCTTACTAAAAATAAATATTTCCGATTTGTCAAACGAAGACAAAACAATGTTGGATTTAATTTGTGATACATTTAATAAAATATTAAAATATAGTATGAGTAAGCATATTGTATATTTAAATATAATTAAAGTATATATATATATATATTTTGTGAAATTATAAAATTAATGAATTTCTTCTATATTCCTTAGGTATTTCATACACCAGAATAAAAAAAGAAGCTTTAAATATAGCTTTATCTCTTGGGAGAAAATTACGTTATACTAAAAATAATGAAAAATTTGATAAAATGATTTTAATAATACAAGAAACTTTACCGGAATTAACAAAGGATAATGAACCAGAAATTCGAACCAGAATTATTGATATCAAAGAAATGCTTAAGATATGAAGATAATAAATGTTAGTATTTCCTAATTAATGTTACATATGGCTAAATTAGTAACTTTGTGTTCAATCCTTTTAAAATGATAATTAAAATATATAGTGTATGCTAATACATATTTCTTTAATAATACTTTATTATATAAATGTAGCTAAAACAATTTTATAGTAATACATCATTTAATCGATATTTCTTAATATATAATTTTTAATTTTTCATGTCGTATAAAAAACAATTTATATAAATTTATAAATATCTTAATTTTATAATACTAAGATAATTTGTTTAACACTTTCTAAATATTACATTAATTTCATTTTAAACATTCTAAATTAATAAATTTGCATTTCAAACACACATTTATGTTTTCATATAGGTTTTAAATATAGGTAAGTATAATAAAATTATTCTGAATATATATAATAATAATATATAATAATAATAATAATATATATATATACATTACATGTTATTATCATATTTTATATCATTTTTATACAATTATTTATAGATGTTAAAAAATTTAAAAGATGAAAAAGAGCAAAAAAATTTAACTGAATAAATTGTAAGTATTATAAATAAAATATAATGAGATAAAAAAATATTTATATATCCTTTAAAATAATTTTTTTTAAAGTTAGAGTAAATGATTTGAATTTTCTTAATATATTAGAAAAAATAATATTTAATTAATTCTTATAATATTTAAAAAAAAATTAACAAATCGAAATTATTGGTCGAAATTTTGAAGAAAAAAAAATAAAAGTCATAATTTTTAATTTTTTACTTAAATAATAATGTAAATGTAATGAAAATTTAAAACATATCTTTTGTTGAAAATTATATACGTATACAAAATTTCATTGAAGCTACATCGAAGATCAAAAAATATAAAAATTTTAAAATTATTAAAGGCCGAAAATTATAAAAAATTATAAACTTTAACATTTTTGATCGTTTTCGATTTTGTGCATGAATATAATTTCTTAGATCTACAAAAAATATTTTTTAAATTTTTTATTATAGACTCAAAAAAAATCATGATTTCTTTTTCTTAAAAATCAATATCAATTTTTAAAAAAATATCAATTCAAAAAATATCACGTTTTTTATATATTACATAAATAAATTAATTTTTCGAATATTTAAAAAAAATTCAAGTCATTTAGTCCAATTTTAAAAAGTTATTTCGTTTTAAAAATATATGAATATTTTTTTCTTTCACGTATATATACAAATAATAAAAAAAAAAATTTTTATAATTTCTATTTAAAATGAGATTTAATGTTATTTTAATGTTTTAATTTATTTTAATTTTTCTAATAAAATTTTAGCACCTTGATTTTGTTTTGACTTCAAAATATTAATTATTGGTTTTAATTTAGAAAGTATAATATTTACAACAGATATTGTTTCATTTTCTAATAAGAATATTAATAAAAAACATCCTCTATTACATTCTATCCATTTTTCTATAATATTTGTTTTTAAATAATTAATTAATATTTCTCCAAATGTACATTCACTTTTTTTTTGTAATTCTTTATCATTTTGTATAAGTTTTTTTAGCATCATATGTAAACCTGCATGTTCAATTGGTTTATATTCTTCATCTCCTTCTTTGATTTTTGATTTTAAGTCTGAAATAAATATAGCAACAGCTTCAAAAGCTCTTTTTAATTTTTCTCCAATACCTATTTTCAATATTGCTAATGTTACCATTGCAATAGAACTATTAGACATCCAAATTGAGATATTTGTGATTACAGATTCTAAAAGTGAATCAGAAATTGAATATAAAAGTTCTTTTTCTCTTATATTAGCTGGTTTTTTACTTATTGCATTATTATCTCCTTGCTCCAAATATTTTACTATACTGGGAGCAAAATAATGGGAATTTCTTCTAGCTATTAAATATAAAATTACATGCTTTCCATAATCATTTAATGCTATATCTATCAAATCATTTTGTATTTCTGAGAATATAATTTTCTTGATTAAAACAGTATCATCTACTGAATCAAATAATGCTAATAGTATTAAATATCCATGTTCAGACATTGAAATAATTTTTATATTTCCTTTTAGAGCTTTCATAATAATTTTTCTATCTTTGTTTGTACCATGCCATATACATATTGCAGCAACTTTTGAACCAAATTTTGTTTGAGATAATTCTACTATTGAATTTTTTAACATAGTTATTATTTCTGTTCTATCTTCAATAGAACAATCATTTAAGAATTCTAAAAGAACGCAATGTAATAAAGTAGAATTTAAAAATTTTTTATTTAATATTTTCATTAAATTTCCTTTTACTGCAGATAATGTTGCTGTTTTCATATCTTCTGCAATTTTATATGTATCAGATAATGTTTTAATTTCTTTATCTTTAGCTTGTTTATACATATCACCATAAAATTCCTGTTTAAAATATATTTTTTCTATTTCTGTTGCCCATGTTGAATAAATAAGTTCTAATAATGATGCAGATATAGAATGGCACATGAATCTTATTACATTACCATAAAAAACAGAAATAGTTTCGTGTCTAATCTGTTGAGATCCATATTTTAACATTGTTTTAATACAGTTTTTTGCATATTTTGATTTAATCATAGACGAAATTGATGGTTTTAATTCTTGAAAAATAGCCTCTCGAATCTTTGCATCACAATATTTAAGTATCCATTGAATAATTCGAGACATATCATGTGTAAGTATTATTCTATTATAATTATTTTTTAATATATTATGTGTTTTTAAAATTAATTTTTTACGTTCTAATTTTGAACAATCAGATCTGCGAAACTTTTCACTAAATTGCTTTGCTGTAATTGTTATATTATAAATATCATTGAAACGTTTTGCTTTATATTTTTCTTTAAGTTCTTTTTTTTGTTTCTTAAATTCCATCCAATTAGGTTTTTCTATAGAGTTTTTATTCATTATTTCAAATTTATCATTTATATTTTTATTGTAATTTTCTTTATCATTTTTTATCAAAGTTTTTTTATATTTTTCTTGTGTTTTTTGAATTTTAAGTTCATTACTTTTAATCTTTTTTGTATTACTATTTATATTATCATCATTAATATCTCTTTTATTTTTTTGTAATTTTGATTCGCTGTTAATTTTTAATTTTCGTGTTGTCATTTTATAAATTTCTGAAAAGTGAAAAATATAAAATTAAAAAATTAACAAATAATTTTTTATTATTTTTATTAATGATAAATTATTTTTGCAATTTTAAATAATAAAATTTTAAAATTCATAATAATTAATTAATAATATATAATAAATTAAATTAAAAAATAAATTAAATAGTGGAAAATTAAAAATTTGATATATTAAGATTTCTTAATATAACAATATAACCTATAAAAAAAAATAGAAAATTTATGAACAATTTTAATAATTATTTCATATAAAAATTTTAATTATTATTTCATTAAAAATTTGTTTAAAATTGTAAAAAAATATATATTATATTGAATTAACTTTACTTAAACTTTATTAATTAAACTGGCTCCAACACGTGTACACTATGCATACGATTATTTACATAAATCTAAAATTATACAATTATATTTATAATCGAATATTGAATTATCGGAGAAAAACAAAATCATATAATCAAAATCTAAGAAATGTAAAGTTAAATTTTAACAATTTTAAACGTATTTTTCCTAAGATAAAAAAATTAAAACTATTTTATTTTATATTAATTGCTTGACTTAGCTCAATTTGAAGTAGTAAAATTTTTTAAAAATGTTTAAATAATAATAAATTTATAAAATATATAAAATTTATTATAAATTTTTATGAATTTTAACGTACAAAATCTAAAAACAACAATTAAAAATTATTGAAATTTAAAATTTTCATTTATAAATTATTTACATTTAAATTTATTTTATATTATATTAAAATTTTTCATTTTATAAAGATTTTTGCAAGTTATAATTATGTTATGAAATCGTGTTTGATTTTTATTTAATCCGATAAAAAGAAATACGAGGCATTATATTCAAATCATCTTTTAAATAAAAATTAAAATTTTATTATCTAAACTCAATTCAAATTAAATCATGTATTAAATCGTCATAAAATAACTACGAATTAAAATTTGAGTTAAATTAAAAAAATTTCAATCTAATTTCAAATTAAATATGATTGTAAAATAATAAAATGTAGTATCGATGGCGATTTGCGAATTGTTCATACGAAATATATATGTGATAATATATTTTTTATCAGATAAATAATGATATATATGTATATTATAATATTAATTTTATTATATGAAAGATATTATATATCCATTCAAAAATTTAATTATTTTTTCTAAATTAGATTGTCCAAAGAATACAAAAGCGTTTTAAAATAAAATTTATGATTAAAACTTGATATAAAGATATACAGATATATGAAAAATATCCAGATATATATCCAAAATTCGATTTAATTTTATTATTTTATTATTAATTTTATTAAAAAGTTTGTTGTTTATTACTATGGCTATACTTATACTATTTATATTTGATTCTATACTATATATATTTGATTTACTTAATTTTATATTAAGAAAGCTAGAAATACTGATAATAAATAACATTCTAGAATTAATATAGAGAAAAATGTATAAAAATATATAAAAAAATATTTAAAAATATTAAAAAATATTAAAAAATATTAATATTACAAATTAATCAAGCAATATTTAATATAGGTATGTAATACTATATTAATATAATTAATTTTTTGACTTATTTTTTAATAAAAATCATAAAAATGTTATTTGTTGATACTAATTATTTAATATGTTTAGGCTGCAGATTTTTTGAAAATAGTTTCAATCAAAAATATTATAAAGATTTAAAAAATCAAAATATTCTATTTTCGATCATTTTTGCGCGGGAAAATAATCTTGTAAGCAAATGCATCATTAGAAATATATATTATATATATACATATAAAATATATAGAATAGTCGTCACTATTTATTAGCAAATTTTCATGTAGCGATTACAATAATATATAACTGTATAAATATTAGCCTAAAAAATTTAATTACATATAAAGCTAATTATATAAATAAAGTTTATATATATAAATAAAATATACTAAATATATATATATATATAATTATATAAACAAATACAGATATAATAAAATTATAAATTAACTTTTCAATAAAAAGTTATGGATGATTATCCAATCAACATGTTTGAATTTCTGCAACCTGTCATCTGATTTTGTCGCTTTGACTTGAATCATACTCTTGTTTTTACGACCTTCAAAGTTTGTCTTCTAAAATAGAGGTCATATTTAAATAAAAGATATTATTTGTAATTTTTATTAATATATTGTATAGTGAATTGCATTAAATTATTTTTACGAAATACATTGTAATTGTTTTATGTATATATTTTATATTTTACTAATTTATTACGTATTATTTCGTTGTTTTTGAATAAGAATTAATATATATTTTAGTCTTGAAAAATACGCGTTCGCAGAGTCAGGTATGAAAACTGAGAAAAATAGTATTTTCAAAAAAAAAAGTAATAATGTTTTCTAAAATGTTATAAATTTTTATACTGCATGTTTTAATTATATGAAGTAAAATATTAATATGTGATTTTATTCGTCTTTATTAACCCGTTATATTCTATATTTACATATACACATAAACATTTAAATTTTAATAGTTATTTGTAATTGTGTATTTGTATATAACTTTTATATTTTTGTATAAAAACTACATTATTTTTATATTGTTATATTGTTGTTGTTCTATTGACACTTTGACAACTATATCTTTTTTATAAAAAATGTTGTTTGTTTTATAAAAATAATATTTTTAAAAAATGTAAGCAATAACAGTAATAAATATATTTAAATATTATTTTAAAATATTACTTTATATGTAAGATACTTTATCTTTTAACTATTTAAATATTATTATAATATTTATATACATATAAGTACTTAAAAAATTATTTTATTTAATCAAATTAATTCAAAAATAAAATAACTTTTTAAGTATTTATTTTATCTTATTTTAATATAATATATAAAACAATAAATATGATAATAAGAAGATTATATTATTCTTTTATATATTTTTTTTTAAAAAATTGATTATATTAAAAATAATTAATAGTATTTTTTTGTACTTAATTTTTTCCTTATTTATTTGTAGGTAATACAACATAAAGTAGTATTTGCTTAAGTAAAAGCAACATATAGCTATAATAACATAATGCTAATTGAAAAAAGTCATTGCCTTTAATAACAATTTCAGCTATATGATTTATTTTGAGAATGGGTTCCATACTTACAATAGGCTATTTCTTTTCTGATGCAACAAGGAAATTGATAAGGAAACTTAGGACTATTTTCCAATGCCTTTACAAATGTCATTACTTAAAGTGCCTTTATTATTATGTAAGTTAAGATGTAATGATGATAATGTATCTTAATAACCTTTTGTATTTATATTATTATATTATTAATAAATGTAATTAGAATTAATAATATATCATTTTAATGTCATTATATAACATTTAAATAATATAACTATATAAACAGTTATAATATAACTATATATTCTAATCAAAGGAGGTATTTTATTACATATCAAATGATTATATTCAAGCTAATATTTCAATATTAAAATAGTATTGAACTATTGGAAACAATAACACTTTTATTAAATTTATAAAAATTTATAATAGTAGTAGTAGATAGATAAAAAAAATAGTATAAATATATACATAATATAATTGATGTTATGTAGTATGAAGTCTATCCTATATTTATATTGTACAAAGAGGTAATTTAAGCATATAGAATGAAAATATCTCTAGGCTTTATGCATGTTCATACAGCATAACTTTGTAATATAATATCATGCTTTTTGCACGCTTGCTAACTGCTTTGTGCTGATAACTTATATTAAGGGACTCTTGAGCTAAGTGTTTATCCATTTACCATATTTGATGTGTAAGTACTACTATCTTGAGAAAAGATTTTATTCTAAAAGATATTATAGATATATAATTTGTAAATTTTTCATTAATTTATTATATTTTTGAATATAATATATTGTTGAATAATTATTTTTATATCTATATATGTATTTTATTTAATTTTTTAATTTAAAAATCAAAAGTGTTACAATTAAACAAAATATAATTATATAAATTATTAATTAAAAATAGAATTGTGAACATTGAAACAATTGAAAAAAATAATTTTGAAGATTTAGTAATATTGTTTTAAAAAATAAGTGTTTGTGTCTTTAGGCAGTGGTTAAAAATATGTCAGAACACATGTCATCAACTGAAAGTCACGAATCTGAACAAATAAGAGTTTTAACTCTAAATAATGGAGAACATCTTGATGGTATATTATATAGATTAAAGAAGGTATGTAAATTTTATATTATTTATAATATTTACAATATTTACAATATTGATAAAACTAAATTGAAATAATTTTTAACAGGTTGGAGAGTAGAATTTCGTTTAGGCGCTTCTCTTCTTGGGAGAACTGTTGATCTTTTTATAAATTATCCTTTAGGAGAAAATAAAAAATTTGAAAGACATACATATTATCTCTTAGAATGGATTAATGAAACAGCTAATATATGTTTATCTCTAGCTGGTTCATTTCATTATTATCTTATAGATCCTAAGTAAGTATTAAATATACAAAAATTTTATGTGTTTACTATCTTAAATTAATACAATATAAATTGTTCTTAATTACATTTTTAGTTCTGAAGGTATGAAGCCTATTGCTTCTGGATATCTCCTTGTAGATCCAGAACTTAAAATAGGGGAACATGGAAATGATTTACCATTAGATTGTATTCAATGTCAAACTGTTCTTGCAAAATGTTTAGGATTATTTTCTACCTGGGAAGATAAATTACTAGTTGCTAAAAATTCTGGATATAACATGATTCACTTTACACCAATTCAGGTATATTTTGATTTATTAAATAATATTTTTAATTGTTACATTCAATTTATATTTTAAGAATGTATTTCAAGAATATATTTTAAAATATATAGTATTTTACTTGTAATTTATATTTTAGGAATTGGGATATTCTAAATCTTCTTATAGTCTTAGTGACCAATTAAAATTAAATCCTTCTTTTAATGATGATAATAAATCAATTACATATGATGATATTGAAAAATTAATTAATAAAATGCGCAATGAATGGAATGTAAATATATAATTTTATATATTTTATGCTCATAAAAATTTTTATAAATTTTTTTATAAATATTATATATTTTAGATGTTAAGCATCTGTGATATTGTTTTGAATCATACAGCAAACGAAAGTCCTTTTTTGGTATCTCATCCAGAATGTACATATAATTGTTTGAATAGTCCTCATTTACGTCCTGCATATATTTTGGATGCTGCATTATTTGAATTAACAGTGCAAGTAGCTGCTGGAGAATGGGAATTTAAAGGTATTCCTTTGATAGTTGAAACTGAAGAACATTTAAATGTAAGATAAATGGATTAAAATTAATATTTAATAATAATTATGATACATTATATATTAATTCTTATTATTTCCAGTCAATTCGTCATGCACTTCATACATATTTTTTGCCGCTCATAAAAATACACGAATTATATATAATAGATATTAATGAAACTATTGCTGAGTTTTTGAATTTAGCACGAAATCAAATGCCTCAAGACACTATTGAATCATCAGAAACATCAGAAGATATTAAAATAATACAAGATTCAAAATTTCGTAGATTAAAAGCAACTATAAATATGCAACTTGCTTTACAAAAATATAACATATATAGGTTAATAATTAATATTGTAAAAAAAATATTAATTTTATAAAATTTTGATTTATTTAATCTTCTTCTTTATCTTTTTTTAGAACTGATTGTTTTGATGAAGAGACTCGTTTGAAACGTTGTGCCGAGGATTTAAGAAAAAAATTGCAAGAACTTAATAATATAATCATTAATGAAATACAAAATCATTTAAATGCTGCAGTTGAAAATACAATTGCTGGTATAAGATATTTTAGAGTGCAAATTGATGGACCTAAACTTAAAGAAATAAGTGAAAGAAATCCACTAGTTCCTAGGTATTCTATTATATCTATAACTATATAATATATAAACGTTTGTTATTTTATTATTATTTCTATATAAATTAAATTAAAAAATGTATTATTACACTATCACTATGAACATGCATATAATTTTCAGATATTTTACTGATTATGGAGCACCTAAAACATTAACTGAAAGAGAAGCAACAATGTACTCAGATGCAGGATGTTATCTAATGGCTCATAATGGATGGGTAATGAATGGTGATCCTTTAAAAAATTTTGCAGATTCTGATTCTAATGTTTATATAAGAAGAGAACTTATTGCTTGGGGCGATAGTGTAAAATTGAGGTATTGCAATTGTTTTTAAAATATTAGTAAAAAATTATAAAATAATCTAAATCATTAATATATTGAATTTGTTGTAGATATGGAGATAAACCAGAAGATTGTCCCTTCCTATGGCAGCATATTAGTACATATGTTGAACAAACAGCTAAAATTTTTGATGGTATTCGATTAGACAATTGTCATTCAACTCCTATTCCAGTTGCAGAGGTATATTTAACTTTTTAAAATGGTATATAAATTTATGCTTTTATTAATAAATTTTGAATATTTTATATTTAATGTATAGTACATGCTTGATGTTGCTCGTCGAATCCGTCCAGATTTGTATGTTGTTGCAGAATTATTTACAAATTCAGATCAAAAAGACAATATATTTGTTAATCGTCTTGGTATCACTTCTTTAATCCGAGGTATATATATTTTTATTTTAAGTTATAGAATTATAATTAATTATTGAATTTGATAATCTTGTTATCATTTCTTTAATTTGATATATATATTTATTTTAAATTATAAAATTATAATTAATTGTAGAATATTAATATATAATATAAATATAAATATATATATAATATAAATATAATATAATATAAATAATATATAATATAAATATTATTAAAATAAAAAATATTAAATATTATTTCTTTTTAAAATAGAAGCTATGTCTGCATGGGATAGCCATGAAGAAGGTCGATTGGTATATCGATATGGAGGTGAACCAGTCGGTGCATTTTTGCAATCACGTAAACGGCCTTTAGTACCAAGCATAGCACATGCCCTTTTTTTAGATTTAACTCATGATAATCCTAGCACTGTGGAAAAACGTAGCGTGTTCGATTTACTTCCAAGTGCTGCTCTTGTATCAATGGCAGCATGTGCTAGTGGTAGTAATCGTGGATATGATGAATTAGTTCCTCATCATGTAATTTAATTTTATATAATTATATTTATACAATTATTTTTATAATTTTATATAATTGTTAATTATTTTATTTAAATTTTATTAAAAGTATATTAAAAGTATATATTTATTTTATAAAATTATAATAATATAAAGGAATTATTAATAATATTAAAAAAAAGAAATATTAATTTTTATTAATTCTTACAGATACATGTTGTAGATGAAACAAGACAATATTCATTTTGGACAGATGATGAATGTTTGATAGATGGTATCAAATTTGTAGGTTTTAAAACAGGTATAATTGCTGCAAAAAAAGCATTAAATGATTTGCATTATATTCTTGGACAACAGAAGTTTTCTCAAGTATATTATCATAATTCATAATGTATATAAAAAATTAGTTTTATATTTCTCAAGTATTAATTATTAAATTTGATCAACAGGTATTTGTTGATCAAATGGATAATGACATAGTAGCTGTAACAAGACACTCTCCAACAACTCATGATAGTGTAATTTTAATTGCTTTTACTGCTTTTAAACATCCTGATCCTAATGCTAATGATTTGAGAAGACATGTAAAACCATTACGAGTAGAAGGTGTAGTGGAAGAATTATTTTGGAGGCATCCTTATGTCATATAGAAGCAAAGTAAGAAATTGAATCAGTAATATTATTTATACATTTATTTTTATATATTTATATTTTATAGAAATATTTCTTTTAGAAATGATATCTCACCTTTCCATTATTCTGAAAAATATGTACGAGATGAAAATTATATAAATGGTCTCTCAGAATATATTGTAAATCTTAAAGAACATATACAAATTTGTGATTCAGAAATTTTGGAAAAAGTTGATTCTGGTGATCCTAAAATAACTCAGCTTAATTTCGTAAATTTTCAACCAGGTTCTGTTATTGCTATTCGGTAATATTTAATTATACATTTTTTTTTTATAATATTTATTCCTAAATTTTATATTTCATGTATGAATATTTTACACTAATATATTTTAGTGTATCTCTTCATGCTAATATAAAACCAGCTCTTGCAAAACTCCATAATACTATTTCAATAATCACATCACAAAAAAGTTCGGACATACGCGTTATTGCTTCACGTATGGATTTGATAGATTTAAATAAGGCTTTATATCGATGCGATCAGGAAGAACGCGACGAAACTTCAAACAGATTTGACGTATATAATATTCCAGGATATGGACCACTTGTTTATGCAGGATTGCAAGGTAAATTAATAATATAAATTATTATATATGTATATAAAAAATATATTATATATTTTCTTTTCTAGGTATTATTTCTTTATTAGCAGATATTCGTCCTAATAATGATTTAGGTCATCCAATGTGTATTAATCTCAGACAAGGTAATTGGTTAATAGGTAAGTAGTAAAAGAAATATTAAAATCATTCCATTTTATTTTCAAATAAAATATTTTTAAATATGATTAATAAAACATAATAATTTTACACAAATATATAGATTATACTTGGCAACGGTTAAAAGAAGATGATGGAACAAAAGCACTTGGAGAATGGCTTGAAGAAGCTACTGAACCATTTAAATTAATACCTCGTTATTTAGTTCCTAGTTATTTTGATGTTATAGTTGTAAATGTTTATATGATACTTCTTGAACAATGCTATAATCTAATGTCAAGGTACTTTATATTAAATATTCATTTATTTTTTATATGTTTTATTCATTTATAATTATTGTTCATTATTAATTATAAATTGACTAATTTATTTATAATTATTAGCTTTGTGAAAGATGGTTCTACTTTTGTCAAAATCCTATCTTTGGTTTCAATACAAATGGGAGGAGTAATAAAATCAGCTCCATTACCAGATTTGTCACCAAATATAGATTCTCCTAAACCAAAGATTAAACAATATAATGACGAAAGTGAACAAATATGTATGACATTATCTGCTGGTTTACCACATTTTACAACAGGATATATGAGAAATTGGGGAAGAGATACATTCATTGCTTTAAGAGGATTATTGATATTAACTGGCAGACATACAGAAGCACGATTTATTATTCTCGGTTATGCTGGAACTTTACGACATGGTCTTATACCAAATTTACTTGATAAAGGAAAGAATGCTAGGTGAAGAATAGATTTTTTTATGTATTTTAATTCATAATTATTATTGCATTTTTCAAAAAATTTTTTTTTAGATATAACTGTCGAGATGCTTTATGGTGGTGGTTATATACAATTCAATGTTACATACAAGAAGTGCCAAATGGTTAAAAATTTTAACAGATAAAGTTTCAAGACTGTTTCCAACTGATGATTCTCCTCCATTACCTGCAGGACAAGTAGTATGTACAAAATATTCATTGTAAATAAATTATGTATATTAATATTATATATTATAAATTTATTACAACAAATTTTCAGGATCAGTCATTACATGATGTTATTCAAGAAGCTCTTTTAGTACATTTTCAAGGACTTTGTTTTAGAGAAAGAAATGCTGGAAAACAGATTGATGAACATATGACAGATCGTGGTTTTAATAATCAAATTGGAGTACATCCAGAAACAGGATTTATATTTGGTGGAAATGATGCAAATTGTGGCACATGGATGGATAAAATGGGATCTTCTGAAAAAGCTGGTAACAAAGGAAAACCAGCTACTCCAAGGGATGGCTCAGCTGTAGAAATAGTGGGTCTCAGTAAAAGTATTCTTAGTTTTTTAGCTGAATTATATAAACAAAATCTTTTTCCTTATGGTAGTGTGCAAAGAAAAAATCGTGATGGTAAGAAATAAATTTTTTTATATTTATTCATTTTATTTTCATTTTTTTTTTGAATACATTTTATTGTAGGTTCTGTTGTAACATGGAGTTATAAACAATGGGCGGATAAAATTTCATTAAATTTTGAAAAATATTTTTATATTAATGAAATAGCAAGAGAAGGAGAATTAAATTTAGAACTTATTCATCGGCGTGGAATTTTTAAAGATAGTCATGGAGCAACACAAGCATGGGCTGATTATCAACTACGACCTAATTTTCCAGTTGCAATGGTTGTTGTAAGTATTTAATTTTTATATTTATTAATATTTTTAAATTATATATATATAATTTTATATATATGTGTATAATAATGTATAATATATAATATATATGTAATATATAAATGTATTATATATTATATTATTTTGAAAGGCTCCAGAGTTATTTAATCCAGAACATGCGTGGACAGCATTAAAAAAAGTAGAAGAAATCTTATTAGGACCACTTGGAATGAAAACATTAGATCCTGCAGATTGGGCATATAATGGATATTATGATAATTCTAATGATAGTGGAGATACTAAATTAGCTCATGGTTGGAATTATCATCAAGGACCCGTATGTGCTTTTTAATATTATATTAATATAAAAAATCCTAAAATAAAAATGATATAATTTCATAACATTTATTAGGAATGGATTTGGCCTATGGGTTATTTTCTTCGAGCTCGATTGTATTTTGCTCCATTAATTGGTGGAAAAGAAGAATTATGCCGTACAATTGAATCAACTGAAACTATTATTTCTCGACATTTTATAGAAGCATCTACAAATCATTGGAGGGGTCTTCCAGAACTTACTAATAAAGATGGAGAATATTGCAAAGATAGTTGCAGATCGCAAGCTTGGAGTGCTGCTTCTATCCTAGAAGTTTGTATACATGCTGATAATATAAATACATGCTGGTAAAATATATTTTATTACATAATTCTATTAATAATTGACTATTATACTATATTTTTAGGTTCTTTATGATTTACATAAAATCAAACGGGAATTGCGTTCTGAGGAGAATGAAAGAACGAATTGATATAATTTTGCGTGTGTTCACCACCGCCAATTACACTTAGAACATTTACGATTAGAAAAAGAACGTAGTATTAGAAATAAATATCACGATAATAAATGGCATATATTTAACACAGCTATAGAAACACCGAGCACGGAAACACACGCATTTGGTATTTCGCACATAGACAAAACTAGTATGCCACCGTGCAAACTTATAAAGGCTGATATGACACCTACAAGTGATGATTTTTTAATTCAAGGACTTAAAGAAAACGAAAATCAAATAGATATTAAACATGATTATATATCGCCTACTGTTATTAACAATTTAGAAATAATTGAAAGTATATCAAATACTACCGAGTTATCAATGATAACGGAAAATAAATGTCATAAATCAGAACAATTTATATATGGAAATGAACCTTTAAAATATGAAAGTAAATCTTTAACCAAACTTAAAGATGATATAAATGATCATACTTGTACAATATTAATGACACAAAATACAGGGGAAAATAATGCAATGACAAAATATTCATCAAAAATAGATCACGTTTATGAAGAAGTCAATGCTCTTGAATGTGATATTATAAGTTATTATGAAAAATATAGTCCTACGACAGCAAAAACATTAATAAATACACTTTTTCTCCCTCGACATAAAATTTGTAAACAATGTGCCAATTTACAAAGCAGTCCAGTATATTCTGATCGTTTGATATATGCAAAAAAACCATTATATGCAAAAGAAGTATATTTACTTCAACAGAACGAAACTTTATATTTCAGATATTTATCAGAAGATAATAAATGCGATAATACATTATTTTTGCAATACGATGATATTCAACATTGTTTATTAGTTTATAATTATTTAAAAACTAATGCCTCTAGTATATTTTATTTTTACGGCTCACCTCGAGATGTATTTGATTTGAAAACAACATTAAAACCAAATATTTTTATTATAAATAGTAATATTAGAGGAATAGTAAATACAGAGTTATATCATCGTTGCGCAAGTAATTTTTATACGAGAATATCAAATAATGGCATTATACCTAAAGTGTTTCATATGAATCATAATAATATTTTAAGCTCTATAAAACATATTGGATACGATACTGATTTGCAAAACTGGATGAATTACCGTAATGATATTTTACGATTGCACAGTCTCAAACAAGATGATGTAATCGACTATCGCGCAAATAGATCCAGTTTATTACTATTAGAACCTCTATTATTAATGCCAGAATTAGGAAACTCTAGGTATAGGCACGGAAAGAATCGTATTTCACAATCGGAGCACGTAAAAATAGTAAAGATAATAATTGCCTATACTCTTTCTTTTTTTATTTTAGCAACAATTACATTTTATATAGTTTATTTTACATAATGAAATATGTGAAAAATATATTTATTTCACATAATAACTATCAAATTCAATTAAATATTCATTTATATTAATTAAAATTATGAAATTAGGAATTATATAAAATTTATTCTTTCATTTTTTATACAGAAAATATTTTAAACTTAATTTTATTTATTTAAAAAACTTGCGAATTTTTTACGAAACAATTTAAATATTAATTCAATTTTTTGAAGTGTAAAGTTTTTATATTTTCCGCATACATAGTATTTCTATATTATAAACTTATACAATATATCATTATTTTTGTTAATTATTATATTGTCTATCATGATTGTTCTAATAAGTTATTGAGATTTATTGTTATAATTAAAAATTTATTGAATTATATAAGATTTATATTGTTTTAGGAAATTATATATGTGCGATTTTATTAAAACCATAACTATAATGAAATATAAAAATATTTAATATAAGAAAAAATTTTGAAAAATATGTCTATGTATGTCCTTAAAAATTTTAAGAAAATGCATAGGAGTAAGCACTTAAATAAGATTATTCAAATCTATTATTTCTGATTATTATATTATATATTTATTAGCAGATACTTATTGCACGTATATTTTAGATATATAATATTTTCTTAACAATTTTCACATCTGTACGAAATATTTGCAATAAAATTGATATACATATATCATTTTGCATAACATAAAGTGTTATTTTTCCCCTATATTTTATGCACTATATAGGAATATAATATACGTATATATATATATATATATATATATATATATATATATATATTA